GATGGATGGGTGGTTATATAACTCAGCTGTGAAGCTTCTGAAGGACTTAGATTGACGTTGTTTGCTCTCATGTCCCATACTCTCACAAGCCACATGGCCAGGGGCTCTCTACTTGCTTGCTTGTAAGTTTTTCCTAGTTTTAACAGTTCTAGCATGGAATATTTCCTAGCTATTATACATTTAGCTTTTTTTTTCCCTTTTTACTATTATCTTTCTTTTTCTCTGAGTCCTTAGACTTTACACTAGTCAAAGTGTCCAGACTTTTTTCTCTCTCCAGCTCTGTAACTGTGTCTTCCAGTGCAGACTTTTTAGATTCTCCTGCCTGGGGCATATCTTTTATGATGCAAAGTGGCTGCTCTCCTTCTCCAGGCACTTCCTTTGAGTCTAGAGAAGGTGAGGTTGCTGGCTGTGGCTGCTTTCCTCTGGCTATGGCCGCTCTCTTGCTCTCTCAGTTCCTCCAATCAGTCATCTGGTCTGGACCCCAGGGCTGGTGAGGAGTCTGCGCCAGTGTCGCCGCATTCAGATGCAGGAGACCAGGTCAGTGACACAGATCTGCTTTATTGCAGGAAGGCACAAGCTTATATAGGGATAGTGGTCCAATCACAGCACAGCGTAGGATACCTTATTAGCATAACAGACTTAGCGTCCTATTAGCATAACAGACTTAACGTCCTATCACAGAATAGCAGGTAGGATGCCTCATTAGCATACTGGGTTTCAGATTACAGAGCCTGGATTCCTGGAAACCACGTGACCCTGACTGTTGCAATATCTAAGTGCTGCAATTTTGGATTCCAAGGGCAGTGACTAGGGAGTGGCGAACTCTAGGCATCAGTCTCATGATCTGCCAATGGGAGCAATTGTCACAAGGCATTCCTTGTGGCTCCAGTGGTCAGGCCATTGCCTCAGGCCTGCTGTATGGTTGTCAATAAGACTTTCACCCTAGACTCAAGCCTGTCTCCCACAAGAAGGTAAGAGATTTTCTAGCCTTTGAGTCACTTTTAACAAATCTTCACATACCTGCAACATATCCCCACATTTACAACATAGCTGTGGTCCACACTTCTGCGTTGCTGGCCTCTTTTTAGTAACCCATTGCCAAAACCACATCAGTGCCAACCATTAGCGCTCTTCTAAAACTCATTCTCAGTTTCGTCATATCCTATCAGACTACACCAATTCTGTGGCTTGAATTCTCTCTGGATCTCCTGCATGATCAGATAAACCACATAATATGTTTTATGTGAGTTTATTAACTTATAAAGGAATGAGTACCAGGTGCCTAGTCCCTTCCCACCGAGACTCACAGCCTGCCTTATCAGACTGTGCCATGCCCATAGCCCCACCAGCATTCACTCATGCCTCTGGGGCAGCAATCTTGCCCCAGGTCCATAGGGATTCAGTCCATTCTGTCTTTGAGTTGCTGCAATGGCTGTGAGTTTCCTACTCCATCACACTCTACCGGAGGCTCCTGGCTTCCATCCCAAGATGGCTTCCAGCTTTCCTTCCTACTTCCTGCTCTGTGTCAGGCCCTACCCATTGGAGGAACCAGCCAATCAGGAGACAGTTCCAAACAGCTGTGTGAAATAATTATGGAATCATGCCTTTAAATGTCTATTAAATAATAACTATGTATTTCATTATTTATTTGTTTTTATTGAATTTTTGTGTATTTCATGCAGTACATCTCAAACAATTTCAATCATCTTTATATCCCTGGCCCCACCAGCACCTTCTCATAGCCCCCAACCCACTGGAACCCACATCTTTTGTCATCTGTGTTAAGACCCAAGGTGTCAAGTCAGTGTCCCCAGACATTCTCTAGTACACATAGAACTCGGGAAATGAACAGCAGACCCCAATCTTAGCTGAAAATATATTGGCAACTCATTTTTTAAATAATGAAATGTTTTAAACTTTTAAAAGATGAGTAAAGATGGGTTTCATTTTTTGGGGGGGGGGTTGAGACAGGGTCTCCCTATAGCCTCAGCTGCTCTGGAACTCACTATGTAGACCAGGCTGGCCTCAATCTCACAGAAACCCACCTGCCCCTGACTCCTGAGTGCTAGGATTAAATGCTTGGGCCAACATGCCCAGTTGAGTTTAATCTTTTAAAAAAAAATCAATCAGAAAGATTATCACATTTAAAATATCAGATGTACAAACTATGAATTTCATATTGTAAATTTCTCATTGAATGAAAATGTTATAACAAATAAGAATGGAATAATGTTAATGGAACAGATGTTTTGGTAAATTTCAAGAAGGTGCAAGTATCAGAATTGTTCGAGAGATGAGTCAAAACAAGAGATCTCTAGAAGAGGAATGTACAAGACAGGCTTCAGAGGAAAGCCTGAATTACCTGGAGGCCAACAAAGCTTTTCTCAGGTTTTCAAGGACCAAATAATTGCTTGTTTTCTTCAAACAACCATTACATAATATTGTACCATTTCCTTCTAACATTATTTGAAATTTTGTAGAATGAGTTTAAAATCCCTCACTGCAAATGACACATTCCAACAAGCTTTAAATATCTCTGACTTCTTCACCTTATTAACTTCAAAACTCCACACAGCTTCACATTTTTTGTTGGCTTTTTGAGGCAGACTCTCTCTGGAGCCCCAACTGGCCTGTAACTTGCTATGTAGACCAGGCTGGCCTCATTCTCATAGAGATCTGCCTGCCTCTGCCACCTGAGTGCTAGAATTAAAGGTATGCACAACCATGCCCAGATCATATTTTCTTTTTTAATCACATGTTAAGATAATTTCCTTCCAGTTCTGCCACTTCTCTTCTTTTCTACAATGACACCAGCTTAATATTTTGGATTTTTTATCATGTAAAATTACAATGTATCTTATTGTAATTTTTCTTTTTATTAAAATTTTTATTAATTGAGGATTACAAGTATTTTGATATTAAAGCATGCTCCTTTCTCTTCACCCTCACTACCCTCCAACTTCATGTCCTTTATTATTGCCCTTTTTTATTGAATTTTTAAATTTCATACATTTCCCACTAAAATCCAGGGCCCCTCCCCCATCCATGCCTCCCCCTGTCCCCCCACTGAATCCTATGTACTCTGCCATACATGTTGAGTCCTATTCATTAAGGTGTTTATACCCAAGTATCCTTCAGTGTAAATGCATCCACTGGAGTCTAGTCAGCTCATCCAGTGGTCATATGTAAGTCATACTCTCCCTCACCCAGTAGCAATCAGCCTCAAATAGTTCTCAATATAGTGCTAGCCTGTCACTATTTTCACCTCCCCTTTGGGCCCTTGTTTCACTGTGCTGACATGGATACTGCACTCGTCATCACCACTGCCACAGACTCACATGAACAAGCCTCCAGAGGCCTGGAAGCCTCCACCTCCCTGTGTTCATGAACCAGCCTTGGCTCTTACAATCTTTCCCACCTCCTTTTCCACAATGGTCCCTGAGCCATGGGTGGTGAAGTTCCATATAGGAATCCCATTCTACACTCTACAGTCTCTTATTCTCCAGAACTTGGCCAAATGTGGCCTTCTGTGTGCATTGCGCTCTGATATACGAGGGAGCCTCACTGGTGAGAGTTGAGGGGTGCATTATCCCTCTCTCTACCCCTTATTCTGCTATGTTATATGAGCCTTAGTTGTAGAGATTTGACTGCATATGTGTCACCTAGTACTAGGCATCTCCCAGATGTTCTCTCTGCCTGAGCAGATTCCAAGTCTAGTTTGTGTTTCCAAAATTCTCTTAGGTGTGGCTCTCTCCCTTGGAGTCTGGTCAATCTGCCAGGCAACACATCAGGAAGGAAAACTGACACTCCTTCTCTCAGCAATCAATTGTTAATAGAACATCATCTAGGGGTCTGGCTTCCTGACCACCTCCTTCATCCATACTGGGTTTTTGTCTGGCTTGGGTTTACACAAGTCTTGTTAAACTGCCACAAGCACCTTGAGTTCATATGTATAAGTACCCTGTGAGGAGGTAGAGATATTGTAAGAGCCAGAGGTGGTAGAAACTGTGTTGTCTGGACAGCTTAACTTTTTTATACTAATCTACTAGTTTCTAATTTAGTGAAGTTTTTCAGATTGCCCAAGAACACAGAAATAAAGCTTGAAATGCTCTCTGAAGGCACCCAGTCTGGGAAAGTCCCCTGGCTTCTCCTTTTTCACAGGAAAACCTTGAGTAAAAGGATATTCTGCTAGGTTTTTCTTGCCTTCACTCATTTAATTTTCTATTAGATTTATTCCTTTTCAGTTTCTTTCCATGTATGATATGGGAGTTGAGTCTCTACATGAAGAGAATCTACTGTTTGCCAAATCAAGTGGAATGAAATGTTTTCTGAATAAGTGAACACATGAACTTGTCTGTGCACAACCCCAGAAGTTTATTGTTACTGTGGAGTGAATGTGGTAAAAGTCTTTAGGCTATAACAATTATATTAGTAACAAAGACATAATAACTGCTGACCAGAGAGTCTACATGGTTCTGCAAAGTACTCTGAAGAACATACAAATCTGTAAAATGCTTTCATTTCGTTTCCTGTTTAGTCATCACAGTATGCCCTGGACACTTAATTAAATGTCATTGTATGTTTTTGCATGATAATAGAAATAAAAGAATTTGTTAACTACTAATGATACATCCGAAATCTAGGATGATAGCTTGTCTTAAGGGAGTGACTCTAAATAGGATGACTAGACTCCAGTGGATAAACTTGCATTAAGGAACATCTGTGCACAAAGACTTGACTGGGATGGCATTAGCGTATATGACTGAATGCATGAAATCTGGTGAGGAGGGACATGGGGGTATGGATAGTGGAGGGGTTTTAAATATGATTAAGATCTATTGTATGAAATGCACAAAAACGCAATAAAAATACACATAAAAATGAAAAAATCTAGGTTGTTATTGAAAAAAATTTTTGACATATATCAAACAAAATCCAAATTTAACCTTCATGAATATGTGACTATTTTGTTTAAAAGAATATGCATTCTTCTATGAGATCTAAACACTTCTCTTTAATTTCTTTCTCACTGAATCCATGACTTGCTTATTTCTCAGACTATAGATAACTGGGTTTAACACAGGAATTATGACTGTGTAAAATAGAGAATCCATCATATTCTCGTCATTTGCCTCTCTAGATGAAGGGCGCACATACATGAAGAGAAGGGGACCATAATACAAGGACACAGATAAGAGATGGGCACCACAGGTGGAAAATGCTTTCTTTATGCCTGTGATAGACTTGCTTTTTAAGATTGTAAAAATAATAAATATGTAAGAGACTAGGACAGTCACCATGGTGGATACTTGAACTGAACCAGCTAAAGCAAATACCAGCAGAAAACTAATAGAGGTGTCAGAGCAGGAAATCTTTAAAAAAGGCATAACATCACAGTAAAAGTGATGTATTATGTTTGATTTACAGAAAGTTAGTCTCACTAAAAAGATTTCATGAATTATGGCATGAAGAAAACCACCTACAAATGACAAAATTACTAGGTGGAAACATAGTCCATTGGTCATAATCATTGGATAAAGCAAAGGTTTGCATATAGCTACATAGCGATCATAAGCCATTGAAGTCAAGAGGAAACATTCTACACTTGCACTGAAGGCAAAGGAAAAGAATTGTGTCAGGCATTCAGAGAGAGAGATTTTCGTGGTCTCAAATGACAAGGTGATCAGTAATTTGGGTGTCACTGTAGATGACAACCAACTATCCACAAAAGCTAAATTACTGAGGAATAAGTACATGGGGATGTGAAGGTGAGGGTCACTCCAGATGAGGGTGATCAGACCAAAGTTTCCCAGAATTGTGATGAGATATATCACCAAGAATATCAGGAACAGTGGGACTTTCCACCGTGGTTGATGTGTAAGCCCTTCTAGGACAAACTCTGTCAGCAATGTTACATTGTTCTGTTCCATGTTCTTACTGGCTGTCCCCTGAAATGAATATACAAGAGAATTCTTCGTAAAGTGAAAATTGTTCCAAGATTCTTTAAATAAAACTGTACATTTATATGAACACCCTCTGTACTTATTTATTATATGATAATTTATAGAAATTAGAGAGAGAGAGAGTGAGAAATGGGGCTGGGGAGATGGCTCAGTGGTTAAGAACACTGGCTGGTCTTGCAGAAGACCCAGGTTCTAATCCCAGCACCCACCAACTGTCTGTAACTCCAGTTCCAGGGGATCCGATAACCTCTTCTCTCCTCCGTGGGCATTGTATGACATGGGTACACTTACCTGCATGCAGGCAATACATGCATACACATAAAATAAAAAATAAAATATTAAGAAAAGAAATTAGAGAGAATTGAATACAAATATGAAGCTGACTCACTGAATGTTTAGAAATAAACAGATTTAGAAAGGATGCAAAGTCATTCCAAGCATGTGCTAGATTTATAGAAACACTGTTTAGTACATTAAAAATTCTTCTGTCATGGAGGCACAGTTAAAAACAAAGATATTTGCAAATTCTGTGCTCTATAATGAAAGCCATGTGAAGGACCTGGAACTTCTTTTATTAGGAACTCATCATTCACTGAAAACTTTACAAGAGACAACAGTGTATATGTTTCTTTTCAAGCAGTTGTTCTTATAGAAAATAGATGGCAAAAAGGAAAACCTGGAATCAAAGGTACTAAGAAAAACTTGCTTCTATTGTCTAGGGATTCTAACCCTGATTATCTATCAGAATTTTCTGGTAGCATTACCACCAAAATTATAGAATGTGAGAGACATTAGAAATCAGATTCAGTCTACCAAGAATGAGATCTGGGAATATCTATTTCATCAAAATATCCAGGTATGAACACATATGCATTAAGAGTGCTTAGTTTATGTAGGATAAAATATTAGGAGTGATGATTGTGACAAAGAAGTTAATTTTTTTAAAAAATGAGAAAATACTTTCAATAGGGCTGATGATGTATTAGAGGTGAAGACGGTTGTGTCGGATAGCTTTAGTCGTCAACTTGACACACCTAGGTAGAGGAAGAAAATAAGCAACATTCCTCTAGGGCCTGTGCTTCAGGTCCTGCCTCCGGGTTCCTGCCCTGAGTTCCTACACTGGGCACCCTCATGATGAATTGTGATGAATTGATATGTAAGCAAAATAATCCCTTTCCTCCCGAAGCTGGTATTGGTCAGAATGTTTTATCACAGCAATTGAAAGGAAACTAGAACAAGGGTGGCCTGAGAAAGCATTAGAATCACCGGATGATGTAACATTACCATGAAAATTTTGACATGGGAGTCATTGAGACAGTAGGAGGTTATTGATGCACTGTGAACTGAAATATGCAAAAGTAAAAGAGGAATGCAGAGGGCTGGAGAGATGGCTCAGTGGTTAAGAACACTGGTTGTTGTTCCAGAAGACCCGGGTTTGGATCCCAGGACCCACATGACAGCTAACAACTGTCAGTAACTCCAGTTCCTGGGGATCTGACAACTTCTTCTGACCTCCGCAGGCATTGCACGGCACGGGTGCACTTACCTACATGCAGGCAATACACGCATACACATAAAATAAAAATAATAAAATTTATTAAAAAAGAGGAATGCAGAGGAAAGAAAATTGAGAAAGTTCTACTAAACAGCTTGTATGACATTTTCAAGCAGCCTAACTCATATCATCTGTTGTCATCAAAGAATATTGCAGCTAAATTTTCCTCTTCCTACATCAGATTGTAAAAGGCCTTGTTCTTTCATTGCTTTGTTTTATAACTAAATCCATGTTTTCCAATCTGCAAATCTAATGGGCAAATCTAAACGGTCTTACCTGTACTTTAGCAGAACTTTTAATTTTCTTGGTTCCCAGGTTTATTTGAGAGCATTTTCATCTCTAACAATTTTCATTTATAAGAATAATGTTAAACCAAGTGTGTAAACAGAAACCAGCTGTATAAACAACCAATAATTACAGTGATAAATCATGTTTTATTTGGACTGGACTTTATATGCAATTCCAAATCATTAAGTCATTGAAGATTCTCAGTTTCTTTTTTGAGTGGGTTTATACATAATCATAAGTGGTGGAAAAGCAATAGTGACATTTTCTATGCATTTTTTAATATGTTGGTGCATATGTGTATATGACAAAATTATTATCAGAAGTGGGTAAAAATTGAAGACCTAATATTTGACTGAAATGCTAAAAGTTTTGATTAGAATAAGCATTTAATTAAAACAGAATATCTTTTAATCAGAATCAACCAAGAGGTATGTTAGCTAGGAAATATTTTGAGAATATTTTGAAACTGAGTTTTAAAGTAATATTCTGGTTTCCCATAAATTATATTTTTTCCTCGATGTATATTTTTACTGAATTTTATGTATTTCATAGAGTATATATTGATCATATTTAGACCCCCTCCCTAATCCATGCTCTGTATAGCCCCCCACAGCAGATTTCATGTGTTCTGTGCTAAGGTCTATCAAGTCAAGATTTTGTACCTAGATTTTTCTTAGTGCAAGTTCATCTACTGAAAATAGTTTAGAACCATTTAATGAACAAATCAATCTTCTAGCTACCTGTTTTGATTTTCCAGCTTTTAGTGATAAAAATAAAGTACACAGTTAATATTCCAAAAGCTTTGAATGTCTACATATCATCTGGAAATTTTATAAATATAATCTTGCTATTAAACAAAATATTAACTTTCTTTTAAATAATATGCGTATTATAGGAAGCATTTATTTCTTACCCATATCTTGAAAGAAAATAAAGGATAAATTTAAAATCTTCAGGTTCATAAAGTACAAAAGTGACATTTTTGCACAGAAATGACAAATATACAGGCAAGATTTCTTCCATACTGATTCATTCTGGTGACTATTTTCTAAAGCCGAGGAAACATTGCATGCATAAATATGCCTCGAAACAAGATCTCACCGATTGGACAAGTAGGTGCTCTTGCCAAAAGACAAAGACACAGAAAAATAAATTGTCCAAAGGAGCCAGAGAAGTCCCTTTAGGACAAAATGACTCCCCTACTGGGCATTGTAGAGTTGGACCATCCACAGAGAAGCCAAATTGTTCCACTGGGTTTTATAGCCTTTGTAATTATAAATATCAAGTCACTGAAAATAGTTCTATCTTAAAAATTGATACTGTATTAAACTCTATTTTTATACTGCGTTTTATACTGCATTTGAATTCCTGACATATTTGGCAAAATTTGTAGATAAAATGCATTCTTCTTTGTTCTTTTTTAAAAAATATTTTATTATTTTTATTTTATGTGTATGAATGTATTGTCTGCATATAGGTAAGTGTACCCATGTCGTGCAATGCCTGCGGAGGACAGAAGAGGCCATTGGATCCCCTGGAACTGGAGTTACGGATAGTTGTTAGCTGCCATGTGGGTTCTGGGATTTGAAATCAGGTCTTCTGCAAGAAAAAACAGTGTTCTTACCTCCTGAGCCATCTCCCCAGCCCTCTTCTTTGCTCTTTTACCTGTAGGGCTCTGCCTGTGCTAATCAGAACATATTTTCTATTTTTTTAATATTTCATGTTTATTATTTTTACTCTATTTTATGTGTATGAGTGTATTGCCTTTATTCATGTAAGTGCGCCCATGTTGCGCAATGTCCACAGAGGTCAGAAGAGGGCATCAGATCTCCTGGAACTGGAGTTAGAGACGATTGTTGTCTGCCATGTGGGTGCTAGGATTTGAACCCAGGTACTCTGCAAGAGCAGCCAATGATCTTAACTGCTGAGCCAACTCTCTGGCCCCATGTTTTCTATTTTTAACATTTCAACAAAAATGTTTTTCTTGTGTTTACCTTGTGAAACAACAAAGCTTTTGTTTCCATGTTACATACATACAGTTTTCAACATGAATAATGTAATATGAAGTCACATAGCCACTGAACTGAAAATCACTAAAGTATGTAAGTAAAAATATTTCCATTTCCATTTTTCTCCTACTTTCTTTGGACTTTGAAATCTCCTTTCCTATTGAGTGGTTTATTACTACAGTTGTTTCTAAGTTGATCTAAGAATTTCAATAACTTTAATGTCTTCAATCACAGATTTAAAGTCTTCCTCCTAAACTTTAGAAGATCCTTGCAATTTCCTTTGCCAGTTTGGTGTGCGCTGTCTTCTTTGTATAATCAAATATCTTTCTCCTATAGAATGTGGCAATTGAGTGTGCGCTGAAGAACAGCGAGCAAAAGCTGGTTAGGAACAACTGAGGTAATCATGGCGTTCCACAAAATAGAGGTATCAATAGTGTATTACCAGTGTGGGGTTAGCTTTCTTACCTTTCCTAGTCTGTATTTTTTCAACATGGGGAATTTTGAAAGAAGGCCCCCATGGGCATAAACAGGCTGGTTTTAGCCAAAGATCTAGATTATCTGCAGGAGTCAATCCCAAGAGAAATTGTCTTAAAAACTATCGAAACTGTAGCTCAAATTCCCCACCTACACCTAGCTCCACCATCTCAAACTGAAATAAAATAGGAAATTGTACTAGGTACAAATAAGAGGGAAGTAGTTACAGAGCTAGAACAAAAACTAAGGACCTCCGTGGGAGGTGGGCAGAACTCTGTCTTCCAACACACCTCTAAACTTATCGGATAGCCAGTGTAAATGCAGTTTCTGCTGTAGTAGTTAGAGTTGGGGCTCAGGAGTCTTCTTTTCTGAAATGGTGATCCTGTGGACACTTGCCAAATATAGTTATAACTAGAAAGCCTTGAACATTGGTGAAACCACAAGATGTAAATATACTCTGTGTGTGTGTGAAAAAGGAGAGAGAGAGAGAGAGAGAGAGAGAGAGAGAGAGAGAGAGAGAAATATTGATGGGGATGTGGCAAAGTTACTATTGTGGTTGTGATTCAGGGGCCTATTTATCACTGTCAGTAGTATTTTTTTATTTAGCGTAACTATCTCTGCTTGCATTGGTTTCCATTTTGTTAGAT